CATAAGAACCTGGCTTACATTGGGGTTGCTAAGAGATTGTCTTCTAGACAGGCTAGATGGTAACTTTTCCTTTTCCTTTAGATTTTGGCGTACATAGTGCAAACAGTTGGATATAGAACTTTCATTTTCTTCTTCGTAATACCCTCAGACCAATGAGCGGTTGAAAGAGCCAATCAAGCCTTAGTCTTATTTACGTTGCTTTATTAATGCCAATCAGACTAACTGGTCAGAATTTCTGCCGATGGCTGTATTTGCTAGAAGCAACGCAACCTACGAGTCCTCTAATCTTAGTCCTTTTTTTTTTTTAATGGTTATCATCCCACTATGTTACCTTCTGATTTCTCAGACACTGACATTCCAGCTTTAAACGTCCGTTTGGCTTCTATCCATGAAACTTGGGCTTCGGTACACGAAGTGTTGCAGTCCGCCTCCAGATGTACTAAGGTTCAGGCAGATAAGTGGTGTGGTGCTAATCCTGTCTATCAAGTTGGGGACAGGGTCTGGCTTTCCACACGCCAAATCCAATTGAAAGTACCTTCCATGAAATTGGCTCCTCATCTTGTCTGGTCGTTCCACAACCGATTTCCTAACAAGCCTGCTCCTTCCCGCCTGGCGGGCGGTCTTCGAGTGGGGGGAACTGTCATGGCCCCTGGCTCGCGGCTCTATGTGGTCGCACCCGATCGGTGCGACCACACTGACAGGTTGGAAGAATTACCTGTTCAGCAGCGAGCCTAGAGCCGACCCGCTGGGGCATCCCTCCCCAACACACGCGGGATCCAAAATGGCGCCAACCACGAGGTCGCGCTCATTTGTAGCCCGCCTCCAAAGGTCATGCGAACGTGAGTGCGATGTCACGACGTCAACACACATGCACGTTCTGGGATCAGAGGCCAAGCTTTGGACAATCACAGCCCAAGGAGAGGTATTTAAACTCCTGAATTCGCTAGCTCATTGCCCTGCAGTGGTTTCCGTTCATGGTATCCGAGAGTGCGTTTTCTTGTCCTTGTATTTAATATTCCTGGTATTTGATTTTGGCTACTCCTGACTACTCTAATCTCTGGTTTCTCTGACTTGGTAGTCTTATCGTTCTTGTGTATTTCTGGCTCCCTTGACCTCGGCTTTCCCTTGACTAGTCTCTATCTGTCAACGTATTAATCCGGCCATTGTAAGGACCGGTTTACGGTCTGTCTGTTTTCTGTTCTATGTAGATGTTACATAGTTTTACTAGGAATATATTCTATTACTCTGATGGTTGCACAGTTGGTGCGTTTAAAGGAACACTATGGTGTTAGGAATACAAAACTGTATTTCTAACACTATAGTGTCCCTCTGGTCCCCTCCCTCCCCCCAGTGGCAAAGGATTAATAACCTCTTTTTTTCACTTACCTGATTACAGTTCCAATATCCCTGAGCGCTGGGTTGGAGTTCTCCTCCACAATATTCACGGCGATTTGGGAACCTAGTGCTCCATGGCAATGCTTTAATACTGGGATTTTCTAGGCGCTGGACTTCCTCATTCAAAGCGCGAGGACATCCAGTGTCGTTTCACGGAGTTAAACTCCTCGAAACTGCAGGAAATGCCTCTAGAGTCTGTCTGGTAGACAACCACTAGAGGCAGTCTTATCACTGCAATATAAGCATGGCAGTTTGTCTGAAACTGCAGTGTTTAACATTGCAGGGTTAAGGGGACAGGGACAATGCACACAGGCATCTTCAATGAGATAAAATGGTCTGGATAACCATAGTGTCCCTTTACCAAATGACCTATTTTTTTATTCAATTTTTTTGCATTTTCACATAAAAACATTATTGAACACATACAAGATTGGCCAAGTAAGCACATATATTAAAATGCTCAATATTTTTTTTTTTATGGAATATCATATATAATGTATGACAGAAGTGCATGTTACAGATCAGTTAACTCAAAGCACTGCTGACATTTAAGGTGAAAGAAGCAGGGTTCCATTGCTTTGCTTGTTCCACAGCCAGGATGAAAGTCAGTCTGGCAAAACATAACTTGGCATCAGTTACAATTAGGGCAAGATGTAAGCATGGATCACTGTAAGTTGACACTGTCTGCATTGCCATTGTAAAAACTGTCTATTTTATTTTAGAATAGACTATGGCATGTTTTCCTTACTCGTGCTGTATCATTTTCTCACATCTAATGAATCACACTTAAAAAAGGTTTTTGGATTTAAATATCCGTTTTACTATGTGTGTGTCTGTGTGCGTACCTACTTATACGGGAATATTTTAGTAGATGGGGGTAGTGAGAGGTGTGTATAGGAGTTATTTATGCTGTTACTATAACAGCATGGTCATTCCTATTTCTGAGCCAAAGGAATGCTTCAATGAGGATATTTGCTTCACTGTCCCAATGTTTGGAATTTCCTTGCCCTATAACAGGGGTGCCAAATACGTGATCGCGATCTACCAGTGGATCGCAAAGGCAATGGTGGTAGATCACGGCCGGCTCTTTAATAATACATGGGGCACGGGCTGCGATTCGCGGCCAGGCAGCATTATTTGATTCTGTGGAGGAGCGTGAAGGTGTGCGGAGGCGCCTTCCTTCAGTGGTTCCCGGCAGCGGAAGAATCTGCTCTAACTCTGGGTGGGGTTGGTGCCGCGGCTAATGTATATATATTTTTAATGGATACTACTGTAATGGACTGAATAGGGATTTATAGAGGGGTGACGGGTTTTGTAGATTGGTGGTAATAGGTTTTGTAGAAAGGGGGCAGAGGTCTTTATTGATTTTATTAGATTAATTCAATACGAAGATACATGCAGTAGTACCACGTGTACGTATTTTATACTTATTTTAATGTTCGCTTTTTTGTTTTGTTATAAAACGTGTGTTTTTTTTTAGTAGGAAGATATCATCGAGCTGGTCATTTAAAAAGTAGATAACACTAAAATGTGTGGGCACCCCTGCACTATAATATATCCTGTAATTATAAATATATCTCCTTCTGGCTGCAGTGGTGCTTTGTGTGAACTGACCAGAGACTTGTGGTTTAAAAGACAAAGATACTTCACTCTTGAGCCTTACATACCAAACTTGTTCTCACTGTAATCAAACAATGTTGCCCTCTTCTGGGAGAAACACTGCTTTACATGAATTTAAAAAATACTGTACTTTTTGTCTCTAGACAAAAAATTAGTTTGCTAGGATGATTTGTAATGCAGTTTGTATACTCAGAGGCAAAATCTAACCTTTTTATCCTCATTTTGTAGAAGCTGGGTTATCAGGTCTCGCTTGAGCTCAGTTTATAAATAAATGGTAAATACATAACAGAAAAGTGTGCTTAATGGGAAAGTAATGATATTCTGAAAGCATTAGGGTGAACTATGAGACTAGGTGTAACTCCCACTAATCTCAGCCAGGCCCGACATCTACATTCTGGCTGGTATCCACTAATACTGGGAATACTGCAGTTGTGAGACTGACCGGAACTGTGGTAAGAAGAAGCACAGCTACTGAATCTCCATGGAGATGACACTAAAATTCTGTAGTCTTGGAAACCTAGTGGTATTCAAGGACTAAAAATCTATAAATGTGACTGAGAAATAAGGGGAAAAGCAGTGAATGATAATTATATATGCAGACGCAATAGATAAAAATACAGAAATCATAAAATAGACGGCACCAAAATAAAAAGATGTTCTTCTGTGTTCTCAGCAACAAAAAAATATATATTTTTCTAGGATGTGAAAATGATGGCTTGATTGGTCAGCAGACATACTGTAACCCGTGTCTATCAACATGTACTATATAGCCATAGCAGACATTGTACAAAATCTCCTTTCATGTGATATGTTCAACAAAGGAGCTGGAATTATCTGAAAGAGGCCATTCTCATTAAGCCCTTTGTGACGACCAACATACAGAGTTACAGTTGCTGCCTCAAAGCCAACCAGCAAGACTAGACTACCTCTTGATGCCTTGATGCTAAGCCATTATAGAAATAGACATGTGCAGATCCCACAAGACGTGTAGCCAGATGGGGGTTTCCATTAACAGTGCAGGCCACAGTCATGGTGATTGTTGGGTGTACATGATATTAATAAACAGACTCACTTGTGCGGCTGCCCCTCAATAGTTTGAATGGTTGCCACACCCCATAAAACTAGGCACTGCATGCAGGGATCACCTGCCAACGGGGCTGCCATCAGAAATTGAACTTACACAGTTCAAGGTCTGGGCCCCCAGGGCCTACCCCCAAATTTGCCAACAGGCCTCATCCCGAATCTGCCCATAAGTATGCAGTGGATGTGAACTGGATGCACTGTGTATTGCATGTGTAGTGGGTGAAGTGTGTATAGTGAAAACAGTGTGTGTTTGTGTAGTGGATGCAATGTGTGTATAGTGAATATAGAGTGTGTGTTTGTGTAGGGATTCAATGTGTGTAGTGAAAACAGAGTTTGTGTTTGTGTAGTGGATGCAGTTTGTGTATAGTGAAGATAAAGTGTGTGTATGGGAAGTGGATGCAATGTGTGTAAATATGTGGGGTAGGATAGGGGCTGCATTCTGTGTGGAAGAAAGCTTTTTAAAAATGTATTTTAATGAATTTAATTTTATTCCTAGCCCCCACCCCCTCCATGAAGGGGGGACATTACACTCCCTGGTGGTCCAGTGATATTGTGCAGGCTGCCAGGCATTGTATAGAGAAGATAGGGCCCCATGAGTGTTGAAGAGAGAAGATGTTGGAAACTGAAGATTGGCTGTGCCTACTCTTCACTATATAGGCAGCTAGGGGCCTGCAGGGGAACTTTCATTTTCAACAAGAAAATGCAATTCTTAAAGGGACACTATAGTTACCATAACCACTACAGCTTAATGTAGTTGTTCTGGTGTCTGTAACCTGTCCCTACAGTGAAAAGTCAGTGTTTACATTGCACCTCTAGTAAGTCGCTCAGAGTCCTGAGTCAGTGCTTGCACAGTGTACACTACGTGGACGTGCTGAATATTCCCCATAGCAATACATTGATTTAATGCATCTCTATGAGGAGATGCTGATTGGCACAGCGTGGCGTTTTGCTGCGCATGTGCAATAATCTCCCAATACTTTCTTATAGGATGATCTCAGACATGGAGGCACGACAAGCCATGGTGAAACCGGCACGGTGTTGGAAATAAGGTGAGTTAAAACACCTTTCTCATGCGATCGGAGAGGGCAGGTACCTAAACAGACACAAACACTCTGTGACATACACACTGACAGACACACACTGACCGACACACACCCATTTTTCTCACACACTCACAAACTGATATGTTTGTTTTCATTTAAGTGCACCCAGCCTTTTTACATTTGGGAGAGCTGTGTGGCTTTTTCCCTGGGGTCCAGTGGGGCTGTTCTCTAGTCTTTCTGCAGCTCCTCTGCTCCCTTGCACGCTCTCATGTAATATTCCAGCTCCCAGCATCACTGAAGAGTGTGCAAGAAAACAGTGAGGGACTGCAGATAAATCACTGCTCCCTCACGCACCGCCTTCTTGCTGTTTCAGCTGGCCACCTCCATGCTCCCTACTGCGGCCAGCTTCAATGCTCTCTCAGGCGGCTACCTTAACTAAAGGGCTGACAAATCCCAGGCACCAGGATGAAATTTCTACATGGCAACCTGCTGCCTGGGATTTGTCAAGCCTTGAGATATATATATATGTGTGTGTGTGTGTGTGTGTGTGTGTGTGTGCATACCCTGGCAGAAATGTGACATTTTGGCATTGATTTTGAAAATATGACTCATCATGCAAGAAAATGTATTTAATTGAAGGATAGTATCCTATGAAGCCAATTATTATCACATAGTTATTTGGGTCCTTTTAAATCATAATGATAACAGAATTCACCCAAATGGCCCTGATCAAAACTTTACATACCAATGTTATTATTATTATTATTAGTTTATTATTTATATAGCGCCAGGAAATTCTGTAGTGCTGTACAATGGGTGGACTAACAGACATGGGTAATGGGTATAAGGGAAGGAGTGCTAGATGAGATGAAGTGGGGAAGCCAGGAAGAAAAGTGCCCAATGAATAGTCTAGGATGAGTCTAGGGAGTGAGGGTGGGCCGTAGATGATAGCAATTCTTAAAGGAGTGGGTTTAAATAGGCAGACAGTGTGAACTTCAAAAGAAGAAAAGGATAGGGCAGAGGGAATTATGATTGGTTGAACTGTACATTGGGGGGAGAGAAGGATGCTTACACCACCTCCTTTACAGTTGAGTCTGGGAGTGTGAGAGAATCGTAGCCCACCAAAACATAAAGAGTAGGGATGTGCATGGGAAAAATATTCGGTTCGGTTCAGCATTCCGAAATTTGGGACTTCGGCACTTCGGTTCGGTTCGACACTTCGGAACTTCGGATGTTCTCTTTCAGCCGCTTAGTAGTTAACTACCTAATTCCCACGGTATTAAGGAGCTATCTACCAAAAGGCTGAAAGACCTAAATTGGTCTTTCAGCCAAATTTACTAATACCAAATAAAGATTATTTAGTATAAGTAAATGCTGCCCCTACTCACTATACCATAAGTAGGGGCATGTCTAGAAAACAGTGAGCAGCTCACTGTAAAAAAAAAACAAAAAAAAAACCCTATTGTCCTCCCACCCGTGAGCGGTGGGTGGGTGCCCTAGATCAGAAAAACAGGGGGCCCTGTTGTCCTCCCCCCGGCCCTCACCCCTGAGTGGCGGGTGGGGGCCCTAAAAAAAAAAGTAATTTTTTTTTTCTTACTGGAACCTAGTTATTGTTCCCCCCCCAGTGGCGTAGTAAGGGGGGGCGGAGGGGGCGGTCCGCCCTGGGTGCCATCAGGTGGGGGGTGCCACCAGGGCTGGCCAGGCTTGGGAGTCAGTGAGCTGTGTGGCTGCACCGGGTGCTATAGCAGCAGGGGCGCCGGGCAGCCGACACAGCTCACACGCAGGGGTTGGGAATACAGCCGGAGACCTGCATGGAGATTTGGGGGCGGAGCCAGATGGGCCATGGGGGCGGGCCAAGCCGAATGTGGGGACAGAGCTAAATGCAGCCTCATACTGCTGCGCACAGAGGGGAAGCAGGAAGGAGTCCCTGCTTCCCCAACTACAGCACAGCAGGGATGGAATCCACTCCTCCTCCAGCCCAAGCTTACTGTAAGTGAGAGAGTGTGTGCTGTGTGTGTGTAACTGTGATTGTGACTGTCTTTGACTGTGTGTGTGATTGTCTGCTTGTGTGTGTGTGTGACTGCCTGTGATTGTCTACCTGTGATTGTCTGTGTGATTGTCTGCCTGTGATTGTCTGTGTGATTGTCTGCCTGTGATTGTCTGTGTGACTCTGTGTGTATGACTGTCTGACTGATTGTGTGTGTGTGTGTGACTGTCTGTGATTGTGTTATGTGTATGTATGACTGTCTGCCTGTGATTGTGTGTGTGACTTCTGCCTGTGATTGTCTGTGTTACTCTGTGTGTGTGTGTGTCACTGTGTGTGTGTGACTATCTGCCTGTGATTGTGGGTGTGTGAGTGACTGTCTGCCTCTGATTGTGTGTGTGACTGTCTGTGACTGTGTGTGTGTGTGTGTGTGACTGTCTGCCTGTGATTGTGTGTGTGACTGTCTGTGACTGTGTTGTGTGTATGTGTGGCTGTCTGTGATTGTGTGTGTGATTGTCTGCCTGTGTGATTGCCTGCGTATTTGACTGTCTGCCTGTAACTGTGTATGAGTGACTGTGTGTGGGACTGTGTGCATCTGACTGTGTCTGACAGTCTTCGCCCTGCAGTGAGCCGGCAGCCAGGATATGATGTCATCGCGGCCTCGGCGCCATTACAGGACGTGTGATGGACCTGTGCAGAAAGAGCACAGAGATCCCAGCAGCAACCACTGACCACCAGGGACTGAGGATCCACTCCAGCCCTTCTAGAGCAAGGTAGGGAGGCTGGGTGGACCTCTTAATTATTAAATTTATGTATGTAATGTTTGTGTGTGTATGTGATTGTGTGTCTGTGATTGTATGTGTGTGGGTCAGTGATTGTGCTTGTGTATATCTGTGATTATGTGTGTGATTGTGTGTATCTCTGCGTATGTGTTTAGTAGATAGCTCCCTTATTTCCTGTCCTCAAATATTGCAATCCCACATAAAGATAACAAATAAGGGATTTATCTACTAAACAACTGAAAATAAATTTTTTATCCTTTAGCTGTTTAGTAGATATTCCCTGAATTGGTGCCCGTATGTGAGATTTACATATTTAAAGATACCAAATGAGGGTGCTGTTTAGCAGATAGCACCTTATTTGGTGTCCTTAAATATGGCAATCCCACAAAGGATAGCAAATAGGGAAGTTATCTGCTAAACAAAGATTGAAATTAAGAGGTGTCAGCCAGCCCACAACAAGAAATCTGAGTGGCTAATGTGAATTATATGCAAATGTGTAGTCAGATGCCAGCATGCAGAACACAGCATGCTGGCATCAGACAGCCAATGGCAGCATATTACGCCTCCCCCTCCTGTTTTGACTGTGGTATCTTATGTGCCCCCTTTCCCCCATAAATATTGTTCCTAGAGTCGCCACGATGTCTGCATGTGTGTCAATGTGTATCTGTGTGTGACTGTGTTTGTGTGTGTGTATGTCCGTGTATGTGTATATGTGCAGACATCTAAAAATCTCACCAACACTACACACAAATACACTCTTGCATTTCAACGTCAACACTACATACAAACCCCACCATTATATATAACCATACCACTGCATTCAAATACCACACAACACACAAATGCATGCTTGCATTCAAACGCCAAACACTACATACAAACACACCGCTACATTCACTCACATATACTCCATACAAAAACATGCATACATTCAAAAACACAAACACTGCTTAGTGCTAAATACATTAAAACATTTTTTAGTTGTTTTTATATTTAAAGTTGAGGGGGGAGCAAGGGAGGGTGCCAAAAATAGGACCTGCCCCGAGTTCCAAATGCTCTAGGTACGCCCCTGTTCCCCCTCACTATTTTTAGGGTGAGGGGGTTAGGTAGGGGTTCATTAATTTTCTTGGGAGGGGGGTGACTAGGGGTTTGGGGACCCCTAGTCACCTGGGAGGGAGGTTACATTATTATTTAGGGACCCCCACCCACCACTCAGGGGTGGGGCCAGGGGGGAGGACAAAAGGGTCCCCCCCCTTATTCTAATTTAGGGCCCCCACCCACCTCTCAAGGGTGGGGGCCTGGTGGGAGAACAATAGGTCCCCCCTTATTCTAATTTAGGTCCCCCATCCATCGCTATGGGGTGGGGGCCAGGGGGAGGACAATAGGTCCCCCCCTTATTGGTATTTAGGGCCCCCACCCACCGCTCAGGGGTGGGGCCGGGGGTAGGACAATAGGTCCTTATTCTAATTTAGGGCCCCTACCCACCACTCTGGGGTGGGGGTCTGGGGGGAGGACAATAGGTCCCCCCTTCAATTTTAAAGCCCCAACTCTCGCGGCACGGGTGGGAGTTCGGGAGGGGGGAAACATTTTCTTTTTTGTTTGTTTTTTAACAGTGGCTGCTCACTGTTTACTCGACATGCCCCTACTCGCAGTATAGCGAGTAGGGGCAGAATTTACTTAGTATTAGTAAATTTGGCTGAAATACCTAAATTGGTCTTTTAGTAGATAGCTCCCTAATACCTTGGGAATTAGGGAGTTATCTACTTACTCATTCCCATCCATTGACTGGCTAAGTAACTTACATTTTATATGAATGTGTTACTTGATTGTTGTAAGTGTTGCAAATGTGTATAGCTGAATTCTGGCTATGTTTGGATACTTTTTATTTAAACTGCTATACAGTGTAACATTCTTCATTCTTCCACTGGGCATATTAGTACTTCGGCAATTCTGTGCTTCGGAACTTCGACACTTCGGAACATCGGCAACTTCTGAACTTCAGCAATTTCGGAACTTCGGCAATTTAGAACTTTGCAATTCAGCTATTCGGACGTCGGAAGTATCCGAATGTCCGAATTGCCCGAAATTCATCAGAATTGACATTTGCAACGAAACAAATTGCACATGTCTAATAAAGAGGCAGGAGTAGCGCTATCAGAGGGGGACAGCCAGGTCTCTGTAAGTGCAAGTAGTGTGAGTGAGTTTGGAATGAAAGAGTCGTGTATGGCTGTTGATTTTAAATTACTGCAGTCGGAGCGGGCGTTCCAGAGAGCACACTGAATGTTGGTAAGTGAGGGTAAAGGGCAGGGTATTGTGATGAGGTTTGTGGGGTTTCTGGTTTTCTTACATGGGTGAACCATCCCAGTCCCACAGATGGGTTGCAGGTGGG